AATAACTATCTTATTGCACGGTGTCTGACGTAGCAATCCCGTGCCAATAAGTAAATGAAAAAAGCACGGGTTGTCACGTAAGACCCGTGCAATAAAAAACTTTATCAGCTGCGCGGATTTCACTCTAACATAAATAAATTAATGATCGACATACCCTCTACCCTTAAATTTTAACCAACCAGAGCAAAGAGCAACTCTATGGGAAAAAAATGGTCTGCCTCTATTTATTTTTTATTTTTTTCATCGAAATGATCTAAATGATAATTCACTTGGTCAGTTTTTACCGACCAGTTAAAACCTTTCCTCCAACCAATAAGCGAGGTGTTTGAGAACCTCCTGAGTCCAGTAAGTTACCTGAAGGTTATTTTGTTTTTAGTAACAATATATTCCCAAACATAAGCCACGTTTCTAGTTACATATCATATTTAACAACGATACGTTTTTGTTGTGTCTTTATTAGAGCTCCAATATGTCTATTGCCAAAGGTTCTACCTTTCGCCGGGGTTTTTACCTTTCGTCGGGGGTTTCGCCTTTTATCAGAGGGTTTCGTCTTTCGTCTTTCACCGATAAGTTTTGTCCTTCACCACTTATGAAAATGGTTTCGTCTAACAACTATAGTAGTGTCACGAATAATTCGCAGAATAGCGATAGAAATAAAGGGTTTGCCAATATTTTCTTCACATACGTATTCATTATTGATTAATTCAATAATTAACTAATGATATATCTGGACTATAATATAGTCCTACAGCGATAATGTTGATGAATCTAGGTGGTCCTTCAACGCTAGATGGTGTCGAAGATTTTTTAACAAGACTATTTTCGGATCCTGATCTTATTCCAATCCCATTCCAAAAATATGCGGCCCCGATTATTGCAAAAAGAAGGACTCCTAAAATTCAAGAACAATACGCAAAAATCGGTGGTGGTTCGCCTATATTATCCTGGACTCAGAAACAAGGTAGCGCGTTGGAAAAGTTGATGGATGAAATAAGTCCTCTAACTGGTACGTTTAACTTTAAAATTTAGAATCTATTTTTTATGAAATTACAAAAAAAAAAATTTTTTTTTATTTAACAATAAACACAATAAACAGCTCCGCATAAAACATATATTGCATTTCGTTACGCACCTCCATTAACTGAAGACACGATAATTCAAATGAAAAAAGATGGTGTTAGACGCGCAATTGCTTTCACTCAATACCCACAATATTCTTGTTCAACTACTGGTAGCAGTCTAAATGAACTCTGGAGAAAATCTGAAATTATGGATCCTGAAGGATCAATTCACTGGAGTATTATTGATAGATGGCCAACTCATCCTGGATTGATTGATGTAGGCATTATAAATTTGATTTAAAAAAATGATTTAACCACTGCTAGATGACGTTGCACTTATTATAATTTCAAATTCATTAATGTAGGCATTCGTTAAGCACATCGAAAAATCACTTCTTACTTATCCTAAAGAAGTTCGGAATAAAGTAATCCTCTTATTTTCTGCTCACTCACTTCCTATGGTAGTAGTAAATAGAGGTGATCCTTATACATCGGAAGTAGCCGCAACAGTACATGCGGTAATGGAAAGATTAAATTTTTTTAAATCCTTATAAATTAGTATGGCAGTCTCAAGTCGGACCGCAACCATGGCAAGGTCCTCAAACTCTGGATGCTATAATTGGATACGGTGAAAAAGGCGAAAAAAATATTTTGTTAATTCCAATTGCTTTTACAAGTGATCATATTGAAACTTTGTTTGAATTGGATCTGGAATATGGTCATGAAGCTGAAAAGGTAATACTCAAGTTTGAATGACAAATAGGTTGGTTGTTAATGGATTAGCATACTCTGGTGCCACTTTTGAGCCCCAAACTAGGGTTTTGGTTAACCAATTTTGCAGATCATTTATAAATCAGGTTGGATAAAACTAGTTCGGATTATTTCGTATTTATAGTGCGAAACTGACGTTCCACCTGGCGAAACGTTTCTGATTTTGAAAATAGTTTCGCCCAAAATACTAGTCAAGCCAACCAAGTTGGTGCGGGTTTAAAAATGGCTGTAAAATTGGTGCCTAGAATGGTAGTTGAGGTTGACTGGATAATTTAATAGAGCGAATTGAAGATCATATCAATCCAATTCAGGCCATTTTACAACTCTAACAACATATGTTGTACCTCATATTAATGCTTGCGTTATATTGTAGTTGTGCATCTCAGATAACTGATATTAAATGATTAGCAATGATTGGCTTAAACTATACTTTCATCCTAATTTAGGCAAACTACAATCTACGCAAGCGTTATTCTTAGGCATGACATTTACATGTAGCACCAGAAATTGCTACCTGTCTCGAATTACTACTCAGGCCTAAAGTTGGGCGCAGGCCAAAATCCCGATAAACAACAAAAAATTATTAAGGGTTAGAGTTTAGGCGATTTTATAGTAAAATTGCTCAAGAAAAACTTTTTTGATTGTTGGGATTTTTTTTGTCGGGATTATGACCTGTCGGGAATTGACTTAAACCTTTAAGTTACACCTGACCAAAATTAAGCTCTTAGATATTACCGCATATCAAGTAGTAATTCCAGGCAGATGTTGCTGAAGTGACAACTTCAGGTATGGCATACATAGATATATTTATCAATTATTCTTTTTAAAACCTGTAAACAACAGGCAGGAATAACAGGTTTAAAACGTGCAGAATCTTTGAATGATGATCCAATTTTTATAAATGCAATGGCAAATATTGTAAAAAATCATCTAGAAAAGGTTAAATCTGGTAGTTATTTTTCAAGTCAATATCTATTAAGATGCCCAAAGTGTAAAAAAGAGTCATGTCAAAAATCTAGAGATTTTTTTGGAAGAGCAAGTTATTGAATATTAGCTAAAACAAGTGAAATTTAGTGAGAATTTTTGTTTTTGTTTTCTAGGTAAGAAAATTTAAATTATTAAATTTATTATTAGTTTTTAGATTTAAAAAAATAAGGATAAATATCAATTTTTTTGATTTACTTTTTTGACACAAAAATAGTTTAAATACGTAAATAAGTTTAACATGTTTAGCAAGCATTTATATTTATTATTGAAAAATTTGTTGGCTTGTTTTTAATATATATTAATTTTTTACATATATATACTGTATGTGAGAGTATGCACTTTAATTATCCAAAAACTAAAATTAAAATTAGAAAGTATTTATAGTATTTATACTGTATACAGTGTATGAGTTAGTAAATAAAAAAGCATTTATAAAAAATAAAAATTTATAGTATTTATACTGTATACAGTGTATGAGTTAGTAAATAAAAAAGTATTTATAAAAAATACTACTACTATACTGTATATGCTGGCTAGATTATTTATATTATTATATTAGAGTTAGTTAAATTTCTAGTCAATCAAAAATTCACTGGTCAAATTAGTTTTGTCAAATTGGTCAAGTGGTTTAGTCTATTGAATAAATAATTTTGTTATACAAAATAACATATATAGTATATACTATATACTGTATCACAGGTTGAAATCAAAAATATCTTCTCTGTATCTTCAAATAATCGGCCTAGGTGATAGAAGGGTGATATTGTG